CGACCGCCGCGGGCACGGTCCGCGTCTCCTCCGGCTGGAGTGGTGCGTGCCCCCAACTCCAAACGCCTCAGGGGCGGCTTGGCTCTGAAGCGTGCCCCGGGGTGGTTTCGGGCCTCCCCGGCCTGCCTCGGGTAAGGCCCCGCGGCTCCCCCCCGAGCCCCTGCCTTCTCTCATGTGCCTGGGGAGCGCAGGCCGGGCCCGGGCTCCGGTCACGCGTTGGTGGGTTTGGATGACAAAACTCCCGGGTGCCTGTGTAGATAAACGCTGATGTAGTTCGTAGAGGTATTTATATTAGGATGCTGGGGAAGGGGGGGAAGCTCATGGTGTGTGTATGAGTCCTGGCTTTTGGCTTGTTCATCTTAAGTGCCATTTTGGTTCCTGTATGGGACGTCTTTGCAGCTTCTCTCTGCACACAGGTGTATATTGCTATGGAAATCTGGTAGGTTGCTCTCTGCCTAATGGAGTGGTGAAATGGGGAAGCCGGAAACCTCTGTAATCTGCTTAAGCAGTATGAAGGGCATGTCTGCATGAAATGCTGCTCCACTAAGTTCTTTTGTTGTTGGTTTTTTTTGTTTGTTTGCTTGTTTTTAACATAATTTTTATCTAGTTTTGGTAAGGCAGGATGCAGAGTGCTTTCCTGTGTAGGAAGTCACCACTGGATATGCTCAACAGTAGGTGCACAGCGCAGTTTGTTAGTGCCTTGAGAATGCCTTTGGGTGAAGTAGCTTGTGTTTCTCTACGAAGTGCTCCCTCGCTGTTTGTGAGTCCCACGTAGCTGTCGTTAGTTATGTTGGGGTTTTCTGAAGAGTGGCTTTGCTCCTTAACCCAATGGTTTGCTGCTGTTGACAAGGGAAGGGGCTTCCCCTGCCCTCCTGTAAGACTCCAGGCCCTGTGTCCGGCTTCCTCCTTCGGTCTACAAATGCAGCTGTAGCAGTGGTGAGCATTAGACCAGATCATTCAGCCTGAAGAACAGTATCCTGAGACTAACAGCGTGGGGAGTTAGCGCTCGGGAAGGTAGTAGGTGTTCAGGGAAGGACCACTGCTGCTCTCTGAGCACGGGCACCGGTTCCTCTGGGACGCCATGCCCAGAGGGAGGGAAGGAGGCACATTTTGTGTGTGTCACAGAGCCGCTGGCAGAATATGAAATGATGCTTGTTCTGTTCATGGCTAGTTTTTTCCTACCTTTTTACATTTCTGTGAGGTTTATGTTGTTTCTTGCTACGTACAAAATACCTTTTCCCTGTTCTGTACCTTTGAGTTTCTTGCATATCTTACCTAGACACTAACTGTGACGGGTATTGTAAATATAGGCTTGGCTTAGTCTCTGTGTCTATTGGTTCATAAAACTTCCAGTATTCTACATGGTGGGGTTACCGGTGCACTCCAAAGCTCGACAGTCAGCCCAAGTTTATATCCCTGCGGTGACAGAGACGTGTTAGGAAAAATAAGGATTAAGAGACAGTATGAGACATCATCTTTTGTATCAAAGGTAAGGAATTATACAAGAAAAGTTTAAAGGTGTTAAAGGAAGGAAATACAATGAGGGAACCACCTGTCAAAAATAGGAGGAAATTTGTTTGAAGGTGAGGGGCCACTGGGAATTGTCTGAAGCTGAAGTGAGAGGAGATGATGATGATGCGCCTTTACGTAAGGACGGCTGTCACGCCTCTACTCCACGTGGGAGCATTTTTATGCTGGAGCAAGTCAGCCTATGGGAGCAGGTTAATCTTTTCAGGAGCAATTTTGTGGACATGCTCTTAGTCTTCTACTTAAGTAACAAGACTGAAAATGTGCTCAGTAAGAAATTTTTACTTTGCGCATATGCTGAGAGTAAGATTTGGTTTGTACTGTTCAGTGGCACAGCTGACTGCAAGGCCACATACCCAAACTAGTAGCCCTTGTCTGTTGTGAAAGAAGGATACTGAAGCAGTTAGAAAATAATAAAAATTCAGCTGGGTGCAACAAGATTTCAGTGGGGATGTTCCAAGTGAGGTGTAGCATGTAGTGTTTCTCTTCGTTTTTAACTTCTAAATGCTGTCTTCAGAGCTCAGCAATGAATACTTGAGGGGAAACGTCATGCTCTGGTTCTCCCTCCTCCGACCTCGTGAGCAAGAATTGTGTTCCCCGATTCATCCCCAGAGAAGGGAAGCTTGCCAAACAAAACATGCATATCAAATAAGCAAGTAATCGCTTCTTCTAGGTAGACTTACACTTGTGTAGCATTAACACTTGATTTCCGGGAACCCAGAAAACACGTATTATTCTACTTTGTGAAGCAGAAAGATCTTTTAATGGATGGAAACATCTGGGGTTTGCACCTGCTGGAAGTTGTTACTGCTTTTAATTTGCCATTAGCTTATACTTCTAGGTGAGTGCACTTAAGAGGGAAGCTTGATAATTTTTATGCTGATCATAAATCATGGAACTTATTTCAGCTGACAGCTGAAGAACTGTTACATGTTAAACAGTATGTGCTCAGGCCCTTTGACACAGTTCTCCCAGCAGATGTTCATGGCCAATATAATGGATTCCTCTGAAGGAGGTTTTTTGCTATTCAAACCAGGCAGATATAAACCTCTGAAAGAATATTGTCACATGTTTTTCTTTTCTCTCTAGTTCTCACTTGCCGCAGAATACTGATACGCTAGCCTGAGGAGAAATGCCTCTATAGCACTGTTAATGATTAGCACTGTACATCTGACAAATATTTGGGCTTTCCCCCCTTACCCATGCCTACTTCTAGCTTAGTATCTCGGTGTTCTTTCAGACAAACCTGGAATTTACAACAGGATTTAAATTTTTTTTTTTAATCTATTGATACTTCCTGATGTTGAGGTCGGTTTCTCTCTCAGGAAAAACAGTTGAAATGAGATCATCTCCCAGTTTTTTTAAGGTGACACTTCTTTGAGATACAAATGATGCTTATTTGTTTTCACTACTTTGCAGCTGTAACTACATCTAGTCCTTAGTCTGTTCATTTATCCACTTAGATACCTGACCTTTATTAGTATATTAATGCTTGGGGAGAAGTATATAACCCTAAAATTACCAGAAGTTTTAAAATCCGTATGTATTAGTAAATAACAGAAAAAATAAATAACGTGAGGGACTCTGAGAGTAATCTTAAGAGACACCAGTATTTCCTTAACTACACAAATTCTTCTTAAAGTACACTAGTTAATCTCTTTGTGTTTACAGTTTTTTACAAAAAATATTCTAGGAATTGCCATATAATACCTTTATTAGTAGGGGAAATTCTAGAGTCTGTAAGGAGAGAAAGACTTTAATCCACTTTTCCATGTACTGTTTTAATTGCTTTCTATGTAACATTTTACACTTTTTGGAAAGTATAGGATACAGAATCTGAAATAATTTGCCTGGGTTTCTTGATGGTATTCTACGTGGTGACATGAACTGTACATGTAACAAATACATTGTATTTGAAATTAGGATAAATAGTTTTATACAGTGACTTGATTTTTACTGTTTTTCCATCCTGCTTTCAAGCTACCCATCTCTCATGGAATCAATCATTATGTAAAATAATTAATGGAATAAATTCCTTTTCTCCAAACAGCTCTTCCTAACAGCTTTTTAGAAGAATATCTGTATACTGATAGTCTGAACTTTGTTTAATTTAGAACACCCTGGTTTATTGCAGGTAACTGCAGATGAGGGGATCTTGCACGCTTCTGGAAATGGTGTGCCTCCAGTAACAAAGGATTACTGCATAATTTACAGTTCTAATTGGATATCTCTTCCAAAAAGCCTGGACAATGCTGTAAGTAGCTTATAGTCATACTCCCTAAGAAAACTAGAATGCAATATGAATTTGGATCAGCTATAACTGGTCTTCAAACTTTTGAGTTAAATAGGTGCTATGTTGAATACTTGCCTTTTTAGGTTGTGTGGTGTTCCTCCCCCCCCGCCCCGCC